AAACCGTGAGAATATTCGAAAATATCCGCAAATTTGCGCAGCAATATTATTAAAATATCCGAATCCATATTTATTCATTTGATGAATGAAATATTTATAGTAAATAAATATAGAAAAAAATTAATACTATTATGTTTGTTCATGTTAAATGCATTTTATTTTTGCCACATTTATATATATATAAATTAACATATTAACCACATATCCAAAAAAAATTTTTATGCATTTAATTTTTGCTATTTTTTTAACCACATATCCAATTTTCAAGGATCAATTACCAAATCATTCAATTTTTTTTAATCGAACCACATATTCATAATTCATTATTTTTTTCCAACTGACTACAATTAATTATCAAATCATTCGATTTTTTTCAATTGAACCACATATTCATAATTCATTATTTTTTTCCAACTGACTACAATTAATTATCAAATCATTTGATTTTTTTTAAACCAAACCACATATTCATACAGTTGAACCCTCATTTCAATGGATTATAATTAAATTTGCATTTAACAGATTATTATGAAAACATAAAAATCTGTGATTAACATAATTTCGTTTTGACAGATTTTGAACAAAATTTTCTTATACGTCCAGCCACTTCATTGAAACGAGGTTTGACTGTATTAATGTATTTCAAACCATTCAATTTCCATCTATTTTCAAATAATTCATTAATGTTATTTTGACTGATTTGGGGTTAATTCATAAGTTTATCAAATCATTCAATTTTTTTATTAGATTAATTAAGTTTGCTTTTATTCTTCATTATTTTTAACCACATGTCAATGTATTTACTATTTTTAAGTGTAATGATATATAAAATAAAACATGCTTTTTAAAAAGATATAAATATAGGAGAATTTCCTTGAACTGACCAAAAAATTATAGATGATCCAAGTGAAGAATGCCAAAAAAGAAAGTGTAAACTATTTACAAAAGAGGAAAGGATGCTTGTAGAGAGATTTAAATCTGTAGTAGATTATCGCAAAAATATTACAACTACAAGTCAAAAACAGATTGCCAAAGAAATTTGTCTAAATTCCAAAGTTGAAATTGGTTTAAATCAATCAATGATATCAAAAATATACAATGGTACAGATATACCAAAATGTAACAATACCTTAGATGAAAGTAATTCTTGGATTGATAAAAATGCTAAAAATCTAATTCATAATTTATTTGATAATTATTTATTTATTAATATTTTATTTTTTTATTTTAATTTATATTTAATAATATGTATTCTAAAGGACATCATTTATAAGATACTAAAATCCAAGAACTAAAAAATTGTCTATTTTTCCTATACTTCCTATACATAATATGTCATTTAAATAAAATAAAATAAAAAAATAATTTGGATATTTTAATAATTGCTGCACAAATTTGCGGATATTTTTGAATATTCTCACAGTTTTACAAAATACTGCACAAATTTACGGGTATTTTTGCAGATAACTACACAATTATACAATATATGGCCAAAAAATTCCATTTCCTCTTCATGAATTTGATTATTATCATTATCATTGTTGTCACCTAATGCATCTTCAAAAAAGATTTATTTTTAATCATAATTACAGTAATATAATTTTATAGTCCACAATTAATTTGAATTAATTACCACAGGGAATTGTATTGCCACCAGTACTATTATTATCAGCAGTATTGTCACAAACTATTATTACATCTAAAATTTTAACATAAATAAGATTAAAGTAATTTAAATTATAAAATACAAATTTTTTTTTAAAATAATTACATACCATCATTATTACTGATGTTGTTGCTGTTGTTGTCTTTCTCTTTTTCTTTAATAAAGTTTTTTTCCTGTTATTATAATCACCTGATTATATATGATTTGTTTAAAATAAAAATGAATCAATAATTTCAAAAGAAACTTTATATATATAGAATAAATGAGTGATTAAATATCTTACGACAATTTTGTATAGAGTTGGGTTTCTTTTCTTAAACTTAAATTGAATATAAAATTAATATATGATCAATATAAGAAGTAAATATTCACATATATATTAAATTTACCCTTTCAATTATTTTAACAATAACATTTTGTTTTTGGAAATTTCAGTATCTGACATCATCATTCTATTAAATCAACCTTCTTTTTTGAAGGTTACTCCACCCTTCTTTTTTATTGGGCTAATAAGGAAAAATAAATACAATAGCTAATATATCCATGGATGACAAAAGGTCAATATGCTAGATCTTTACTTAACATGAATAAAAAATTTTCTTCAAAAAATTATCAAAAGC